TTCTGTCAACTTTGGCCTCTTTTTTAACCCTATAGTTACTCATTCAATAAATATTTATTAAGCACCTACAGGCACTGTGCTACACGCTAGGGATATAAGGAAAGGCAAAAGACAGTTATTGTCCTGCAGGAGTTTATGATCTAACGGGAGAAAACAACACATAAAAGGAAGTTGGAAAGAGGTAGGTGGGGGGGTATCCAGCAAAGGGCATAATGGCGTCCAATCCAAAGGAGGTGGTGGGAAATGAAGAGATGTCTGGCCTAGGAGTTCTCTTTAAGTAGCCTCTTGCTCCTTCTCACAATACTTGAATCTCTTCCCCTTCCCTCCTCCCCCTAACACTCCAATAATCTTTCTTTTAGAATTGGAATAGATTTTCTTCAGAATAAGAATAAATTAGTAGCCAGGTTGAGACAAATAGACAGGAAACCATTTTTTTAAAAATCTACCGAGTATGTAATTTAAGAAAGTAAACATGGATTAACGTGTTGTAGTCATTCACGGGAGTCAGAAAGATCTGGATTCAAGTCTTGTCTCTGATAACATACTAGCTGTGTGACAAATCTCAGTGCCCCAGGGAACTCTAAGATAATTAATTAGTTATAGATGAGTTGTTGATTTGCATTGGTGGGATAGTTTCCATACTGCGGCTTCCCCTACACTTATGGAATAACATGTCTGAATCACCCCTCCTATTCTTTCATCCTCAAATAATTATTTAAAGACTCATTAAATATTTTTGTTTGTTGAACTTATCTGTAAATGTTTATAGCTAAGCTAAAGGTAAAACATCAGTGTAGAATAATATCATATATAGGCAAAAATGTATTAATGCACAGTTAAGATGTCATTGAACATATTTGCCTAATGGATCAGATATAAATATAACTCACTCTGGGCTACAGTGTTCTCATCTGTAAAATGAGGGGATTGGAATAAATGATCTCTTAGGGCCCTTCCAGCACTAAATCCTATGATCCTTTGAACATTAATGAATATGTTTCAAAGAGTAGTCAGAACTGTAATGACTGTTTTGTATCAACACTCCCTGTATCTTTAGATAATCATAAATATCCACTGTATATTTCAATATTAAATTACTAGTGGTGATTTCTTTTGCTTTCTATTTCTAGGCCCTTTCTAATGTGGTCTCACCTCTACTCAACCTACCGAGGCCACTGCTTTTCCATATGTGGCTGCCAAAAAGCTGCTACGAAATGGAGCTAAATTAAGAGAGGTCTAGCTCCCAAGAATAGCAAAGTGAGAAGCTTTCTATACTCTGCTTTGGTCAGATCAAAGACCTTCAGCAGTGCTGCCAAAATCAAATGTAAACAGGGTCACTAAAATGTATATAAGGACCCTTTGGGGCCATATGGTGATTTAGACAACCACATATAATGTTATCTATATTCTACTGTTGTTGTTTTTGAATATTGTTAAGTAGTTCCCATTTACATTTTAATCTGGTTCAGGATCATGCTCAGGAATGTCACATGCTGCAAGGAGGCCAGAAGGCCATGTCTGACATCTTTGACCTAGAATGTTGTACTCAGTTCCAGGTACCATCTTCAGGAAGGGCACTGATAAGATAGAGAATGTCTTACAACTCTCAAATTGTATGATTCTGCTTTATTCTGACACCACTCACCCAACTTTAAGTTTCTGCTTATCCACCATGCCCTCAACTTACCCCTCCACTCCGCCATGTCCCAGCCTCTGAGAGCAGACACTTTTTGGTCTTTTTTTGTGTCCTCAGTGTCTGGCACATGGTAATTTCTTAATACATGCTTGCTGACTGATTGAATAGCCATTCTTCAAGGACCAATTCAAGTTCCTTCTTCTCTGAGAAATCAAGGGCAATTACTCTAGCCTACAGTAATGACTTCATCATGTCTTCTGACTTTTTAGGTGTCCCAAGATGGTGGTTACACAGTTGGTTCTCAGGAAGAACTAGTTAAATGATGGACTGATATGTATGATGGAAGCAGGACCACAGAAGCATATCTGGTCCCTTTCTTTATTTCATCTGCTCAGATGGAAGTAGCACATGAAGTGATACGGATCATAAGGATCTGTATGGTTTCCAAGAAATAATGTGCCCTCCTCTCCCTCTCCTCCCTATCCCTCTCTCCCTCTCTTTTTCCTTTTCTCTTACCCTCTCCCTCTCTCTCTCTTTCTCCCTCTTCCCCTCTCTCTTTCCTTTTCTCTCTCCCTCTCCCTCCTTTATGAGCTACCCTCAAGGAGGTTATAGTCTGTTAGGGAAATAATCAACCTGCAGATAAGTAGCTATAGTATAGTGGCATAAGTAGTTGATCTAGATTGAGATGAGATCTAGGTTTGAACCTTGCCTCTGACACTGCCTGCAACACCAATGACTAGACCCTTCACCTCTCTGGGGCTCAGTTTCTAAAAAAAAATGAACTGCTTAGAATAGACAACCTTTAAGTCACTCTTTACTCTAAAATAGAAACAAGGTTCTAACTGGGAACTTAGAATCACAGATCTAGAGCTGGAAGGGTCCGAATTTGCCATTTGGTCCAGCATCCTCATTTTACAGAGGAAGAAAATGAAGCTCAGGTCGGTTGAGCGATTTGCATAACGTTACACAGGAGGTATTAGAGGTTAGATGTGAACTCAGGTGCTCTTACGCCAGAGCTGGTGTTCTATTGATTCTGCTTTATTGAGTAAAGGAAGCAAGAGGTACCAGGAGGAGAATGAACACCATAAGGGGATGGTGGGTATGTAGAAAACAAAGCCTACCCATATTGCTTAGGACCAGCACTAAAGTGCAGAGTTTAGCAGCCTTAGCCGCTTTGTCTCATATGTTCACCATCATTGCCAAATCTTCACTTTGGAGATTCCTCTGGGGAACATGTATACTGCATTTCCAGTAGCCCACACCCTCAGTTTACATAATAATAGAGGAATGTTAATGACAGACTAATGCTAAGTAAAGCAACACTTCATCTCCTGTCCCAAAAGTTCAAACTTTAACTGAAAAGGGATATATTTTGACCTAACTTTTTCAAATGCCATTAGCTTCAGGGTATTTCCATATGTCTCTAGCTGAAGGTGCTTAAGAGCTGCTAACTCGAAATTTATAATAATGTATTTGAATTTTTTAAAAAAATATGATTTTGTAGAATCACTAGGGAAAGGTATTAATTTAAGGAGTCCGTCTGATCTTATTTTAAAATTTCTAAAAAATGAAGAGAAAACATTTCTAAGTCCAAAATGACAGATCATGTCTTTGGCTGGTTAAATATTTAATAATCATTTAAATTCAACAACAGTCTGCTTAAGTTGGAAATATTGAAATTAGTCATGTAAAAATGGTTTTAAAGTCAAGCACTGGAAACCCACATTCTGTGCACTTCATTTCATTTTATAGTCTCTAAGAACTATTACAATTTTTAATAAACTTGTATCTAGGATTTGAAGCCAAACACTTACATTCAAAAGGCAAGAATTTATTAACTGAAAGACACCCAAAGTGGCAATAAAATGTATTCCCCAGTGATAAGTTGCAAATGGGTTGTAAAAGTTGCAATTTATTAATTCCAATACAATTAAGGAACACAGCTGTCCCATCTGTATCCCCAGTGGCCCACTTTCCTAAGGATGACAAATATACATACACATACATGCATATATGTATTATATATATACACACATATCTACATACATACACACACATACACACACATACATTTTCACTGCTAATAGACAAACATCCCTTGGTCCAAATGAGACAGCAGCTCTGTTTACTTTTGCAGACAGTAATCTATGTCCTAAAACCTTGAAAATTTAGGCATGTAATTTTTTTTAAGTCTTGTATATACATGCTGAAATCAAGAAAGTCATGAAACTTTCAGGGCATCCTGAATGAGAGTGAGATTAACAATCACTGAAATTCTTGTTTAGGTTATAATTATGCTTTTTTGCTAATTACCCTATAACTGTAGACACATAAGGCAGCGTGATGTAGTAGAAAGAACTCTGCATATTGGCTTCAGGAGACTTGGAGCCAATATTTTCTAGCTGCCTGACCCTGGGCAAATTCTACCTTGGATAATACTGTTTTTGTGTCTTTGAACAGGTCATTTCAACATTCAGTGCCCCAGGCAGCAATTAGAAGTTGTAGAATAGGGGCCAGCCTACATGGTAAAGGGAATTCTCTTAAACAGGTAGAATCCCAGGTTCTTTACCCTCCCTCCTCCCAAAACACACACACACACACACACACAATCAAACACAAAATCAAAAGAGTTATTTATGCAACATATTTGTATGATTTCAGCATGCCACCTACTACCTCTATGACTGTGAGCAAATGACCAAACCTCACTTTCAAAGGACCAGAGGATCACAGATTTAGAGTGGGTCAGGAGCCCAGCACCTTCATGTTACAGATTAAGAAACAGACCCACAGAAGACAGTTGACTTGCCCAAGGTCTCACTGCTGGTATACAAAGGTGGGTACCCATTGCTTCATGCCTGACAAACACCACTAATCTTCATCCATTAAATAAAGGTGTTGAGCTAGGATCTAGGTGGCACAGTGAGTAGATTGCTGGACTTGGAGTCAGGAAGACCTGAGTTCAAATCATGCCTAAAATATTTACTAGTTCTGTGACACTGGGCAAGTCACTTAAATTCCTTCTTCCTCAGATTCCCTATCTGTAAAATAGGGATAATGATAGCACCTACCTGGAAGGGTCCTTGTGAGGAGTAAATGAGATAACATATCTAAATCTCTTTGCAAACCTTAAAGTGCTATATAAATGCCAGTTATTATTATTATTTTTATTAATATTATACTATAACATGCCCTTTCAGCTCCAGAGTTGATAACAGTGAAAGATAAACACTGTCAAAAAATACTTTACCTGACTTAAAATATGTTGAATCCTGTAAATTAATATATAGTAAAAATAAAGTAATATTTTTTTGCCTCATCATAAAAAAGCTTTTCTTAGATTCTAGAATGATTAATGACTTACTTTGATATTTCAAAAGGCTAGTGATTTCCTCAGTAGGAGAAGTATGCCCTTCCACAGATGGAGATCACAACCCCTCCAGACCTTAATAGATGGCTTCATGAGTTGGCATGGTCAAAAGAAACCAACACCTGGTGCCAGCCTTCTGTTACTGCGTCTCCTTGATCTTGGCTAGGCTGACCTGCAGATGACAGACACACAATTTATTGGTACTTCCAGACACATGCCAAAATGCAAGAGCTTGGTCTAGCTAGACATGACTATCGAGGCTTCAGTCACACTTACTTCAGAGGAGGCATCAGAAAAAGACTCTGGCTCAAGGATTTATCACTGTGCAAAATTAAGTTCCAAGTCATATTTCCAAGGAATGTTTTATTGTTATAAATGGCTGTGTCAATGTCTTTCTTTTTAAAAGATACAAATCCAATGTCATCCAGAGTGCAATACAAAGACAAATACAAAATAATCATAAACCAATCATATCCCTGGGAAGAGAAACTAACAAGAAATTCAATTTCAAATGTAACCTTAATAAAAGTTTAACTTGGAATGAATCCTTCAGAATCTTTTGCTTAAAGTAAAATGAAAAATGCACTGTGTCCCACACAGCAAATTATTTCTGGATATTTTTAATAAGATTACTGTCAACTTCATGACAGAATGCATTAGCCCAGCCCCGCCCGGCTTGTCATCTCACAGAACAGGATGGTGCCGCCAACCTCATAGGTTCCGTGGCAAAGGCAGGAGAAGGGGGCTTGGGTTCTGCTTTTATTTTCTTGTCTCCTGTGTTTTGGGTTGAATAAAAAAAAAAGGTGAAAAAGTAATCAAGAGGTTGAATAAGCAATTCTGATCGTTATGATCACAACCGTAAGCTGGGAATAAGGGTCTTTGTTCCATTTCATTACCTGAGCACTGGGTAATTTAGGCTAGTCACTTAACTCCCTGATCCCTGATTTCTCTGGGTGTTAAATATCAACTGGTACAGGAAATATTGAGGCATATTTTGAAGCTGGGAAAGTCATCTTTGTTCCTTAAGCTAAGGCATTAGTAAAATCGCCTCTTAATGACAAACAAATGTTATCAGGCTATTTCTAACCAAAGTGCACCATTGGGGTCTTTCAAGGTGACATCTCTGGAAATCCAATTCACTTGCAGCATGTTTAAGGTCCTGGGTTAGCTGTGGAGGAGAGGCACAGATAAGGAAGCCATGGCCCCTGCCCTCATGGAATTGCCAGTCTACTAAGGTGGTCTGACACAGACATAACTCTGCTATCAATTAGACTGGGACAAGTGGATAGAAAAAGGACCAAGAATTATGCCCAAGATTCAAGGACAAAAGCTGAAGTTTTGACTGGGCAGAGAAGAGTGAGGAAAGGCATCAGGCAAGGTTCAGAGACAAGGTGGCATTTGAACTGGGAGGAAATTTGTTTTTCTTGACTATGTATATTTGCTATACAAATTTTGTCTTCTTTTTTGTTTACTCATTGGAGGTAGGGAAAAGTGGGAAGGAGAAGAGGCAAGCCACAGGGTTACCCCCTCCCTCCAAAAATGAATGTGATTGCAGCATTTTTTAATGTGCAGAAGAGAATAGAAGGAAGGTGAGAGGAAATACAGACAAGCAGGATAGCTTTGAAAGCTACAAAATAAACTGATTATACACTTGAAAAGAAAATTTTATGTAACAGAGATCAATCATTTTGTATACAATCTTCTTTTTTAAATTTTGCTTTCTTTTTGGAAACAGTCATTTTATTTGGTATTTATTATGACAAAAAACCAAAAAAAAAAAAGCAACTGAAGAACTAGAATTTTGCAGGATGGGTGAGATTTCAACAGATTGATATGGGGGTTAGGGACAATAAAAAAAATCCAAAATAAGTTAATGGAAAGGAAAAGAGATGGAAACACGTGAGTCATATGAAGGAGATGGCCAATAATCCAGTTGACTGGAACATATTATAAATAGAAGGCAGTAATATGATATAAAACCTAACGTGGGTGGGTCCTAATGACAGTGAGCCTCAAATGCCGCATTTCATAATAGGGGGCATCTTCCATTGACAACAGAAAGCCACTAAATAAATCTGAGCAGAAGATTCTACCTCTAATGGTAGGATTACCATCTGCCTACAGGCAGCTAGATGATACAGGAGATAGAGTATGACCTGGAATCCAGGAAGACCTGAGTTCAAATCCAGCCTTAAACACTTACTACGTGTGTGACTGGGAAACTCACTTAAATTTTGTCTGCCTTAGTTTCCTAATATATAAAATAAAGACAATAATAATATCTACCTCTCAGGGTTGTTGTGAAGATCACATGAGATGCTATTAATATAATATAAAATGCTTGGCAGACTTTAAAGTGATAAATAAATTGATGGTGGTGGTGGTGGTGGTAGTGGTAGTGATAGCAACGACAGTAGTAGCTGTATATCACTTAAACTCCCTGGGCCCCATTTTCAGCATCTGTGAAAGCAGGGGACAGAACTAGATGATCACTATGGTCTCTTTCAGCTCAAGACCCAGGGCCCTATAAGCCTGTGATCAAATTCCATATATGCAGAAGATGGATTTGGCACCTATATAAAGGAAAGATGGGATAAGGGAGCAGATGGAGGTGGGAAAATTTGTTATAGTATTATTTTTGCCAACCAGGTGGACTGCAATGAGATACGTAAGCAGTGACAATGAGACAGATTCATTTAATGTGAAGGCAAAACGCCTTTTTTTTGAATCTCAGTACCCACATATGTAAAATAGAAATTATACAATCTGAAGTCCCTACTTTACTGGGTTACTGTGAGGTTTAAGTGAGGTACTATATTCAGAGAGTTCCATAAACTATAAAGCACTAGAGAAACCATTTATTAGTGGTTTTGTTGCATGTAACCAGAGCTCTGGGCTCAGGAATAGCGGGAAGATATTTGGAAAATGAGCCTGTTGTTGAAACCACAAAAAGAAATGGAGAAAAGCATGGTGGGCTTTAGCAGGCTGCTATACATTCCTAATCAAGAACTGTAGCATAAAAAATGCCAAAAGGGAGATATATGACTGGAAGAGAAGGTGGGCAGGCCACAACAGGAGAAGCAAGTGGTAGAGATATCCATGTAACGTTGCTGCTCTTTGGTCATTTCAGTCATGTATGATTCTTCATGACCCCATTTTCTTGGCAAAGATACTGAAGAACTTTACCATTTCCTTCCCCAGCTCATTTTACGGATAAGGAATCTGAGGCAAACAGGGTTAGGTGGCTTCCCCAGGGTCACACAGCTAGTAAGTGTCTGAGGTCAGACCTTGAACTCAGGAAGAGGAGTCTTCTTGACTTAAGGCCTGGAGATCTAACCCCTGCACCACCTAACTGCTCCAACCATGTAAAATCAGGATAATTAGAAGGAAGTCCCAGTGTGTTGAGTGGACTTGGACAAATGTCACACAGGATGAGAGCTGTATGGGGATGGGCTGAGAGCTATACTAGTGGGGCAAGTGACCCATTAGTGAAATCACAGATCCATTCGTATATCAAAGTTATCAAAGCCTATTAAAAAGAAACTTTAAAAAAGCCTCTTTTTTTTAAAGCCTATTTAAAAAAAACTATAAAGAAATAGCAGAATTATAACAGGCAGAAAACTGGAATGTTTTACCTAAGTATTTGTGAAGGACATGTGATATAACTGAAGATCAAAAATTCTCAAAAGAAACTTTTTTTTTAAACTGAGGAGTACGCACACTAAATGTTCCAGGAGAAAACTCTCCAAAGAGTCATTTCTTATGACATAATTAATACTCTACAAAGAAGTCTTAGAAATTTGAGACCAGTTGGAGGGGGCAGTTCCTAATGAGACATGAAATATAAATCTTTTAAAAAAAATCATCACTGCATTGAGACTCTCTTGTGGACTTGTGGTCACAGCTCTTCATCCCCTTTGCTAGTCTCTAGGAAGCATGGCATGGGTCCACGAAGCTGAAAAAGTCGACATTTGATCTTTTTTTTTTTTCCTGGAATGTTTCCAATTAAGACCAGTTTTCTAACAAGTGGAAGGGGTTTTTAAAATTTATATATTGTTCAATACGGACCAAGTCCCTGGCTTGTCATCTCCCACTCTGACTCTCTTAAAGTCTGCAGCAATCTTTTCACACTTGAGCAGATGAATGGGGAGTCTCTAGTGTATCAAAACCCAATATCAACCTTCCTGAATTAATTACTTGCTTCAATCTCAGCTTTATAATGAGTCTCGCTGGGAACTGGAACAATTTTTTTTAAAAAGTAGCCAGCAGATGGGGAGGAGATGTGGCTGGAGATCCTGTTTTTCTTTGTTTCTTTATCATAATCTAAGGAGTTGAATCACGGACTTTGTTGGGGACCGAGATGGATCATTTTTAAAAATGATGTCTATTTGAATGAGGACTTGGCTTTTTGAGTCACGTCCAAGAGAAAAGCCATCCTCACTTCTCACTTCACAAACCCAATGGTCCTGTGACCTTTTCCTATCAAACTAGGCTCTAGAGAGAAAAATGTTTTTAAAAATCCAACATTTATTTCCTTAATTTGTTTTCTTAGGAATCATTAGCAAGAACCCTAAATATGTATAGTTGGAGATATTTCCTCTTAAAAAATTCATAGATCTAGATCCCTCCTTAAGCTAAGCTTTCAATCATGTCTATATCCTGTCTTTACAGTATATTAACAACTTACGTAAGTCTCATTAAGTAATTTATAAGACATGCAGACATATTGATCATTTAATTCCAACAAGCTTAAGTTGCCTAAATTAAAAAAAAAAACTAATGAAAAGAGAATACTTTCAACCCCCATCCTCACCAGCTCATTGATTAATGAATCCTTATATTTATTTGGGGTGCTGTCACAGTCATCTGAACTCTTTAAAAAGCTTAAAATGTATCATTTTGTCAGGGCAGTCATTGGGAAAAACTCCACAATTATAGAGGCTGCGATAAATAGAGATGTGGCCAAATGTTTTCTCCTCCTAACTCTTGACACCTACTAGCTAAATGATCCTGAGCGAGACCGGCTCTAGGTTACTCCATAAGCGGCAGAGTGCCAATTTGCATTGGTAATGCAGGAGTTCCTCACTGCCTCCTTAAGAGGAATTTTCATCGTGTGCATGGATGAAATCATAAGCCCACTTTTAAAAATGTCATCCTAAGAAGATAAGATCT